TATCATTTGGTGATTTTCTGAAAATTAGGTACTTGAATTACACAAAAACATCGAAATATAGGTAGTTTTCATATATTGTGCATGAACTATTTAAATGTTAAAAATTTTCCGCGCTTGTAAAACTGAGACATCGTTCTCTCGCTGGCATACATTTCTCATGTGTATAGATTTCGGCATGTACATGTCAAAAATAGAGGCAAAAAAATGTGTAAAAATTAAAAAAGCCCATTATCATTTGGCGATTTTCTGAAAATTAGGTACTTGAATTACACAAAAACATCGAAATATAGGTAGTTTTCATATATTGTGCATGAACTATTTAAATGTTAAAAATTTTCCGCGCTTGTAAAACTGAGACATCGTTCTCTCGCTGGCATACATTTCTCATGTGTAGAGATTTCGGCGAGGATTTCGGCATGTACATGTCAAAAATAAAGGGAAAAAAATGTGTAAAAATTAAAAAAGCCCGTTATCATTTGGTGATTTTCTGAAAATTAGGCAATCTGAAAATGAGATAAATGGCGCATGCGCTTTTATTGCTTTTGTTTATTCCGCTTACTAAATTCGCGCGGGCACACGCTCACAATCGATATTGTTTTAAACAAAGATTCTCATCAGAATATAGTATACAAAATGGGTTTTTATACGTTTGAAGGTGCTTTAAATCGTACTACTATTAAATTATATTCAATGGCAAATACTGAAAGAGCTATGAAAGTTGTTCTAGCGAAAATAGGGCTTGAATATTCGTTAAAAGACGAGACATTCAAATGTATCTCGGCCATAATGTAAAATGGTGAAGATGTTTTGGTTGTTTTGCCAACAGGTTATGGGCTTATTATGGCAAATATTAAAATATTTCAGCTGCTACCTGACGTGTACGACGTGTTACTTGGCGTAACTAATTCTATCGTGATAGTCATATCTCATATTTCCACATGAATGACCAAGGCATTTCTGCATGCATGATGTCAAAGTATGATACAAGGCCATTCTGTGCTACACTATATTATGGTGATGGCAGCGATATCAAATTACCATTGGATCGACATGAGAACCTGACGTATAAGCTGTTCTATATGCACCCAGAAATGTGTGTCTATGACAAGAAAATACAAGCTTTTTTCAACTGTATACTGTAAACCTCTGAATATAATGCTCACCTCATTCCAAATATAAGCCCCCCCCCCAAATATAAGCCCCCCTGAATATAAGTCCCCTGAATATAAGCCCCCTGAATATAAGCCCAGTATCCCACTATGTTATTTAACATTGACATTGTCTTTTAATATAGCAGAGAACGATATTTGAAACACTCGTGTCATTGTCTTTATAGCTTACTATGTTAATGGAGTGTGTTATTAATACATGTTTATTTTCCTGTTTATGACTGATTTGTTTATTACTAACACAATTGATCGTCCACTTACAAAAGAATATAAGCCCAGGGCTTATAGTCAGAGGTTTACGGTATTATATATCCCATATTTTAACAATAAACACATTATTTTTTATATTATATTACATTAACATATATACATGGAGCACATATAAAGTCTTTAAATGACAGTACATTGTGTTTGTAATTATAATTACCATAATTACTTGTGTCGAAAGTAAGAAATGAAGTGAACAAATCCATATATATATTTGTTGAAAATTTCTTGCAGTGGGTATCTTCCATTTGTTTTTCATGCTTCACACTGTGTATCTTTGAACATTTAATCAGCAACTAATTATAGGCAAGGATATATTTACTAGCTCATTTCTCCATATTACCAGGTACATAACATGCAAATTATACATCAACCTTGCAATCCAGGCTTTAACCCCTGCAGTTGCCACTCTCTCCTGCAGCATGTTTGGGAAGGGAGAGGAAGGAATGGAGGTACTGCAATTTCTATATTTAGCTCCCTTCTCTTCAAGCCCCTCTCCAATAACCCCCCCCCCTCATTTGGATACAAAAATAAAAAATAAATAAGCCCCCCCCCTTATTTGGATACAAAAATCAAAAATAAATAAGCCCCCCTCCTCTTTTAACCATGCAGCCCTCATTCAATTTCTTAAAATCATGAAATATATTGCATTTCTGCAGTATTTTAATAAAATATAGTACAACGGTAACTCTGAATATGGACATTTTTTAATGGTAACCAGACTTATTGCATATATTTAGAACAAGTGCCCCCTCAATGATGCTTAGGAAACAATACACAGGAGGCTTGATAGTTGATACAGAAATTAAAGTAGTTATTTGGTTGAAACTGGTAGCTATTTCAATTCTACTGTCAGTATGTCCTTTTATATATAATTGGATTAATTGCCAATATATTCACATAGTATAATAGTTTGGAAATGGAATCAATGCTTGTATATTTTTAGCAAATGAGCATTGTTATTGATCAACAACATTTGACTCTTATTGCTATAAACAACATTGTTTCACATAGCAACAGACAAGGAAACATCTGTATTTAAATTCACTACTTATTTTTTATCCAGACACAAATTGATGTAAAAATTGTTTCAGGTTTGGCTTAGTTATAGCCTTACATCAGGCTATTCCATTTAATATCCATACCCCCCCCTGTTGAGGATCCCTGGAATTCTTCAGGGGTAAAGGGTTTTGAGCTTGGAATTCTTCAGGGGTAAAGTGTTTTGAGCTTGGAATTCTTCAGGGGTAAAGTGTTTCGAGTTTGGAATTCTTCTGGGGTAAAGGGTTTTGAGCTTGGAATTCTTCAGGGGTAAAGGGTTTTGAGCTTGAAATTCTTCAGGGGTAAAGTGTTTTGAGCTTGGAATTCTTCAGGGGTAAAGTGTTTCGAGTTTGCAATTCTTCTGGGGTAAAGGGTTTTGAGCTTGGAATTCTTCAGGGGTAAAGGGTTTTGAGCTTGGAATTCTTCAGGGGTAAAGTGTTTTGAGTTTGGAATTCTTCAGGGGTAAAGGGTTTTGAGCTTGGAATTCTTCAGGGGTAAAAGGTTTTGAGTTTGAAATTCTTCAGGGGTATAACCATGAAAAACATGTATCCTTGACAGGGGGTGTACGGATATTAAATGGAATAGCCCATCATGCTGTCAAGTGGCAATCATTTACAAAGCAAGTCTATAACCAAATGTTTTACAACCTGAGGAACTTCTTAAATCAATTATTCTATAATTTATACAGATGCTACAAAAACACCTGGCATCTTAAATTTATATAGATAACTCCATTTACAAAAGCACAAAGACCACAGGCTACAACATGTTCAGTGTTGACCATTGACCATAATGTACTGTATTGTTTAAAGCTTCAAGTTTTTAACACAAGCGAAAGCTGTCACTCCAAAGTCCTGGCAACAATATGTCAATTTAACAAAACGACAACGTGTGCGATGATTTCATTTAGCCAATTCTTTCATGGTTATAATAAATATACTCGTACTGTAGATCGATAAAAAGTCATTCATAAATACCATGCCATTTTGTAAGTATATACCCAACGTCCCAATACTTTTTCATACGATTAATATCATTTCCTTCGATTTATATCGTTTGATTTCGCATTCCAAATCTGATAAACATTGATAATTCTCTCTTCGCGTATGTCCACGCGTAATTCTCGCAAAAAACACGCATTAATTGTGTCGGCAGCATTGATGATCACGGCAGCCAATCAAATAACGATTTCGATTCGATTTCCCCAGAGTCATGCCACAACCTAACCCGCGAACAGGCATACTCTGGGAACGAGATTGTCGGCTACCATGTATTTACAAACTAAACGCATGCTTTGAGGGAAATTAGTGATTAAATGACCCCGCAAACCTCGGGAGGTTTAGTAAAAGTAAACCTTCCTCGGTTTGCGGGGACATTTAATCACTAATTTCCCTCAAAGCATGCGTTTACTTATAATAACTAAAAACCCAACATATTCTTCAACCCAACAACTTTTGTTTTGCGAAATTGAGAGCAATTTCAAATTTGTTCAGTTCACACCCTGTATAGTACAGAGTATATATGTTTTAATTAAAATTAATATATCAACATTTCATTCCGTAATGCGGATGCAATTAATTTTTGAGTGTTGACACTAGCACCAGGATAAATTAAATGAGAAAAACTGTTTAGATATTATATTGATCATATGGAAATACTGGGATGTCATTAGATCATGATCGGATATATTCTTGGGGGACAGCTAGGTTGTTTAATTAAAAAATTATTTCAAAAACTTTCATGATGACCTGTAATGGCGTCAACCGCAGTCGAGCCATATGCATCGTAAGGGCCCTAGGGAATTACAGAATGATTACAGAAACAACATCCTCCATGAGTAATTAGAGCATTTTACGTATACTGCACATATGTTACTTAATTAGTCTTAGTAATGTCATTGTCATCTATAATTTACCTGATGTATCGTGCACAGGTTCCTCGTCGTTGTCATCATCCAATTCCAATTCTCCGTCAAGGAATTCTGCAAGGTTCATTGCAATATATATTTTAATAATTTTATCTTCATAGCCATAGGTCCAGTTTCTACTTTTGTGTGAAAGTAGATAACTATAAGTAAACGTATAACAACCTTGCTGTCACTAGACACTGAATTATTTGAATACGTTGAAATTTAGTTAATTATATGGTTAGTTAACAGCATCTACAGTTTATTTCAATTCCGCAATTTAAAAGCTAGACAAACGGACATACATAGTTTATTTTTTTACTCTTTAAAACGTTTAATTTAGGTTTAGGACAAATTTTAAAAGTTGCATGAAGAAATTTTTAAACATGCATAACTAATGGTCTAAAAATGTTCAAGCCAACTACAGGTTTTATCAGTATTATAAAAACATGAATTCGAGACACTTTATAATAGAAAGCTTTATAATATGATAACAATAACAAGGTCAAGGAATTCTTGCTCTTTTACATGACAAGTGACAACCATATTGAAAATTATAGATACATTAGTTGCTTACCATCTGAGAAACTGGGGACAAAATTTTGATGCTTGTCGTCATTTTGATCTCCTGTAACATCTAAATGCGATTCATGTTATTATAAACTATATTAAAGTATTTTTATATATTCGAAGAAATGAACTAATAGTAATAAGTCCAAGAATGTCAATGAAATTACCCGATTCAAAATTTTCTCTAATTTCGCGACTGAACAACTCATTATAGGACACTGAAAATCCCTCAAATGAAACAAAACAATGATTCCTGCAAAAAGAAAATAGGTCATATAACTTGCGTTTAATATTGCTGAGATCCATGCATGCAGGCAATAAATGTAATTTCTTTGACCGCAAGTTGAACAAACTTCGAGAGTGGTCATCAGACGTAATACAAAGAAATTAAACTGAATTTACTATGTCTATACCAATACCGTATATATTTAATATCTATATTTTAATTACTTACATAAGGGACGGTAGCCATCTGTATAATCTTTTTTCCATGTATACAACATTGGTCACTTCAATAAGATCATCAGCAGCGGCTATAGCCTCAAAATAGTAGGAAGCGTTTCCTTTGCCTTCAGCTATCATTGAGCGACCATACGAGACTTTGCAGTCCTTACATCGAAGTACCAGTTTCGCGCACTGTTTAGGGCCAGTGATTGTATACAAAGTACAGCTGCTCCGAGGATTTGGAGCTGACAAAATGGATCCACATCTCAAGCAGTCCTCCACTGGAGGCACGATGAAACCACCAAAATTTAATTTCTCTCTTTTGCTGAGGGTACATAAGGCTTCCTCAAAAACAGCAGAATAATTTCCCAAGAAAGGGCTTTCAGGCGCAAATTCTTCCAGAAAACAAACAATATCGTCAACCAATGTCACTGAAAACCGGCAGGGGCATAAGTGATCGATTATTGTAAAAATAATGTTGCAGCGACTATTTTTGTATCTCGCGAAGGTTTTGGGTACATGTCTGATTGCTAACATAATCCACATAATTGCGTCGAATCCGAACATAAACGCGAGCAAGCCAACTACATCGAAGTTTACATGTTTCTTTAAACTTCTCAGACTATCCGTAACCTGCTCTAATACCAGTTGACCTTTTAAGGTATTTATATGGTTTAA